AGATTGATTTTTCATTTATGATGTTTCAAAAAATTTGTAGATTTTATGATGTTTTAATGTTTTGTTCTTGTTTATTTACGTAGATTATAGAGTGTACGTAGTAGTCATTTAAATGTTTTTTGTCGGAAAATAGCTTCTTTTAGTCAAGGATTGACGATTTTTCGACTAGAAAAGGTAATTGGTGAGTGTTAACAATCGCCCTATTGCTAACAGTCTAATTGTTAGCGTTAACAGTCGGGTTAGGCCAGTTGGCCCAAATCCTTTTATTTATTTATTTATTTTTAAAATTGTAATTAAGAAACTTTAATTCTTTTTTAAATTAAATAAAAACATTTAAATTGAAAACTACCAAATTAAATATTCTTTTTAAAAAAATTACCAAATTCTTTTTTTTTCCTTTTTTTTTCAATTTAAAATTCTTTTTAATTAAATATTATTTTAAAACAAATCTTTATTTTTTTCAATTTTAATTAAATAATATTTTTATTCTTTATTTAAATTTTATAATTTCATTTTATTTAATGTTTTTGTGTTTATTATTATTTTTTGGTAATAAGTTAAAAAATTCCTTAATTGTTTTCTTCTTATTATAATTTTTTTTCAATTTAAATTAATTTTAACATTCTTGCTTTATTTTTTATCATTAATTTGTATTTAATTTAATTTATTTATTTTCTTAATTTTTTTAAAATTTCTTAATTATTTTCTTTTAATCATAATTTAATTTTTTTCAATTTAAAATGATTTTCATATTCTTTCTTTAATTTTTATATTTTTATATTATTTTCTTTAAATTTTTTTTTGTCTATAATTCTTGTTTTTCTCCTTTAATTTATTAAATTATTTTTTTATTATCGTCGATGTAAAATGAATCTATTTCTTACGTATAATAGTTATAATTCAATTCGCTTAATTTTGTGAAATTGTGTTTTATTTCATTATCTCTTATTGAAAGTTTTATTATTTAAATTTTTGTAGGATGGAGTACTATCTCGATGTTGAGTTGAGACAGATGGCTGAAAAAGCTATTTAGAACACTAGATTTAAGAGTTTTGTTACTGTATTGGAGTTGCTTGATGATCAGCACGAAGATATATTACACTCGTCCTTCTTGTGACCCATGTATCAGTTAAGAAATGTGCAGTGCTCCAGATAGATCATTGATGCATTACTATGTTTGCTGCTTAGGCCAGTAGACGGTGATGTCCTCCACTTCGACCTCGAGAACAAGGTCTTTAGTTTTTCTATGTTTGAGTTTGCCCTGATGATTGAACTGGAGATTACAAACGATGAAACAGTTAGCAAAGGTACTCAAAGAAACAATAGAGTTAGAGAAGTTTCAATGCAGATCTAGAATTTTCTAGTTGGCTTTCTTACCAATGTTGGGTTGGATACCCGTCTTGGATAACTAGCATCTTTTATGAAGTTGTTCTTCAACAATTACCCACTTCTTTTTTCAAGGCATCATATTTTTCAGGATTGATAGGTTTTCGAATTTCTCTTATAAGAGTGTATTGTAAGATCAATCTTGAGCATGTGACAATGGACCTTATGGTCGATTCCCACTACATCTTCTTGTTTTTAAGCGAATACGTCTAAATTTTGGTTGAGAAAATCTTTGAGAGACTATTCAGATAGATCACTTCCAATGTGAAGAACTTCAGGGGGTTCGTTAGGATCCATTGAGAAGCTTTCCATCCCTATCTATGCCATTTAGGAGTTAGATTCTGTCATGCAGATTCAAATCATCGTAGGCTTCTGCCTCTTTTAAGATGTTCTCAACCTAGAGTATCCTAGGTTCCCTCCAATAAGAGAGCTTTTCTCCTTCCATCTCTTAGAGTATCTTAGGTTCCATCTTTCATTTTTTAAAATAATAAAAATATTATAAACATATTAATATTTTTTAAAGAGTCAATGGAAACCACTTAGTAAATTTTTTGAAATATATATATTGAGTAAAATAAGTATTATTATTTTTTAAATGTGGGGAACGATTCAATTTGATTTAAAACAATTTTTAAACATCAAAATCTAAATTGAATTTTTTTCAAACAATATAGCACCATTAACATCAAGCACCAATTTAGATAGCAAATGCATGACATTAAGTGATAAGTTCACTTGAATATAATATCGCACGATTCATTTAATTGAACATATCAAGTGTGACCATCTAGATTGATGCTCAGCACTACTAATTTTAAATATGATTATTATTATTTTCACCCATACCCTGTTTGAACTTCATTAAAATGTATTTTTGGGGAATAATGTAATTTGGAATAATAATTTTTTGAAAAATGTATGATTGAAAAAAAAGAGGAAAACTTTTTAATTTATCTGTGATATTATTTTATTTAATAAGATGTAATTAAAAAAGGAGATGAAAAAATGAATTAATAGCAGAAAATCCTCTACAAACGTTCTCATTTGCGATGTACCTCATACCTATTGTAAATTGCAGAAAACCCCATATTTGAAAACCCTTTGTGCGAAAAAAAATCATGTTCCATCAAAAAATTTAAAATAGTAAGCCCCTATTTGGTACACATTTTTTCAAAATACATTATTTCAAACTCATTTTCAATCACACATTTTTCAATAAAATAATATTTTACATCACATCAATAATTTTTCCTTACTTTTCAACTACATATTTCTCGTTATATTACTATTTAAAATACATTATTTACTTAATATAAATAATATTTTCCATCACATCAATAATTTTTCTTTACTTTTTAACCACATATTCCCCATCATATCACTATTTAAAATATATTCTTTTCTCAATAATATCCATCAAATACACCCAAAAATGTCAAAATTAAAAATCAATAATTACAATTTTAGTATCTAAACTTTTTATTCTTTTACAAAGTATACCCAATTTTTTTATGTTTCACCAACTATGCCAAAACTTTAAAACCTTATTTTCCATACTACCCCACTTCATATTCTTCTCCAAAATTTTATTATTTTATTTAATTATTTCCAAAATCCTCCTAAAGCCCTCATCCCAAATTCATCATTTCTTATTCTCATTAACAAAAAAATCATAATCAATACACACATGTACAAAATTTAATAGAGACAATATTCATATGCACTCAAATAAGTGCAATTTAAATATTTTATATTGAAATTAAAATTAAAATAAATTTAGAATGCATACACAGTGGATAAACATATACTTGAAAGTGGTGAGAGGGAAAGAATACCGACTGTCACCAATTGATTTCTAAATTAAACTTTAACTAAGCTCAAATACAATAAACTGAAAAGAAAGAAAGAAAAAAATATACATTATAACTATTTCTATGTCGAGTGTACATACAAATAAAAAAAATAAAAACACTCAAGCTAAATAATATTTCTGTAAGAAACTTCAAATTGGTAGTCAAAATCACTTTTCTTAACTCCTAAATCCCTCACACCAAAGATTCCTAATTGGAATGAGAAGAAAAAATGATAAATTTGGGGTGAGAAATTTAAGAGAATTTTGAAATGGATTAAATAAAATAATAAAGTTTTTGAAAGAAGATGAAGTGGGGTGAGGTGAAAAATAAAGTTTTAAATGTTTGAGATTGTGGGTGGTACATAAAAAAATTTGGATATAATTTGTAAAAAAATAAAAAGTTTGGATACTAAAATTGTAGTTATTACTTTTTAATTTTGACATTTTTAATGTTTTAACGGCAAATTTGACAGTATGGAGTTTTTCACACAAAATATTTTAAATAGAGGAATTTTCTGCTATTAATTCTAAAAAAAAATCTATTTTGAATAAAATGGAGCATGATTTCAATTCGGAGCAAAGCCATTTGTACATAAATTGGTAGGGTTGGACATGGTTCGATTATCTTCAGAATCAAATCGAACCAAAATTTTTGGGTATTTAATAAATGGAACCATCTGGTCCAAATATAATTATGGAACCGTTCGGGTTCGGTTCCGTTCCGTTCGGTTCAATTCGATTCTATTCGGTACCGTACCTAATTAAAATTTTTAACATATTTTTAATGGTGAACGATCAGTGATGGTGGTTGGAGGTCGCGGCTTCGATGGGCATTGGAGAGTGGAAGTCGGACTCGGCAGTTGGTAGTTTCGATTAGGGTATGTAGATGTAGATTTTCAATTTCTTAAATAATTTGGGGTCAGTGACTTAGTGGTTATCGAATGAAAGTGTAAAATTGAAAAAAGAATGATAAAAACTTAAAAAGACATAGATCTTGGGCTAAGAATGAAATTAATAATAAGACCAAAAAATTGACTTTAGAAATTAGGTTTGGCTGGGCTGGCTGGGCTAGCTAGGCATGAACTTGGTTTGAGAGTTACAACATTAATCATTAAATTAGTTAATTTATTTAGAAAAAATTAAAAAAAGTTAATTAATTCAATATAAAAAATTAAAAAAATTATTTAAATTCTGTTCTTATTCGGCTCTAGGTCTAGAACCGAGAACCGAATCGAACCGAACCCATCGATTTTCTATTTAAATACCCATTCAGATATTTAACTTATGAAGAACTGCTAGGTTCAGTTCAGTTCGATACTTCGATTCGAGCTATAAATTGGTTTCATATACCAAAAAAAAAATTTCACATACCCTGGGTGGGCCCGCGTGGGATCCATGATAATAAAAAATTGTCAAAAAAATCTCACCCTCGCCCTCTATTTTGCGGTATCGGTGGGGTCCTTATACCCACAGCACAACTCTTTCAATCCATCCCTCGGTTTCTCCAAACATCATCATGTCCATATCACATTGGAAATAAAAAATCGCACAGTACTGACGACACGAGCTCCATGGAAATAATAAACAACAATAAAATTGCGGTCGACAGGGATTTTCACCGGATCACACACACTCTCTCTTCTTTCTTTGTCGTCTCTGGTTCACTAATCATATGGGGAGTAAATAATGAATAAATAGGGTTTATTATTTTTGGGGTTCATCTCAAAAAGATAGGTTTTTCTTTTGGTGTCGTGAGGGAGAAATGGCGACAGTAAACCCGTTTGATTTGCTGGGGGACTATGATACGGAGGATCCATTGCAGCTGATTGCCTCTCAGCAGCCCAAGAAAGCCTCGGCTCCATCGGGTAAGCCGGCGACTAAGCAGCAGAACAAGCCGGCGGCGGCTAAGCTTCCCTCCAAGCCCCTACCCCCTTCTCAGGCTGGTCAGCTCTCCTTCTCTCAATCTCTATCTCTACAAGTATACAGATATGTGTGTGAGCGCGCACGCTTCTATTTCTGTCTATCGCTTCCTGTATATGTTGCGCGACTCTTTTCATTTCTGTCAAGTACATGGACATTTTGAGTTTTTTTTTTTTTATTAACATTTTTTGCTTTATCTTTTATCAAAGAAATGTGTTCGTTGTCAAAATATGGTCTTGTATTCTGCCATTACACGTGCAACTGAGTAAATACAAAATTTGATATCCTGTGATAGAGTTTTATTAAGTGCGTATCTCAATATGATAACGATTTTGAACCATGTTGCTATTGGGATTTGGCAAGAAAAATGTTTCAAAATATTATTTACCTAACACTAAAGCCAAGTTGGATCTAACTTGAAAGATCAATACCTAGAAGTTTTGGGAATTGAGACAAAACAATTAAGGAACACGTACTTGCTAGTGGAAATCTGTTAAAAATATTGTGATACAATTGTTACTTCGAATATTTATCTAGTGAGCATCATTAAGTTATGATGGGATCATTGAACTATATGTTTCATAACTAATTGTCTTATAAAATGACTCTTTAAGATTAAAATATATTAGGAAGGATATAATAGTCATTTTGTCCAACTTTGAAATATTGATGGTCAAACAGGTTTTACTTGTTAGTGTGATAATCGGAGGATATTATTATTGGACAATGTTGAGCTTTTGTAATAACACTTGAACCTAGGGTGCATTCTTGTATCTTTAGTGGAATAGGGCAAGATTAGTAATTAAATCTCAATTGGGCAGAAGTTGACTAAAGGTCTGTTTGAGCCACATTATTTTGAAAGAATGTATTTTGGAATAGTAGATTGATGGAGAATGTATGGTTAAAAAAGAAAGAAAAGTTATTGATGTGATGGAAAATATTATTTTATTGAAGCATGTGTGGTTAAAAATAAATGGAAGAATGAGAATGAAAATTTTAATGTGACTCGAACATTGCTAAATTGAGATTCGATTTAGTGGAGCTTTAGTTGAGTGAGTCCAGTCAGATTCCTCTAATGACCCCTAATATAATTTACTCTTTTGAGTCTCATTTTCATTCTTAGGGATTTTATGTAATAGAACAAGCTATATTTGAGATTTTTTTTCAAAACCTTAGCCCCCATTCTGCCCAATTTCCCTGCTGATAATCTAATGATAGTTTCACCCGTAAAAGGACATAGGCCTGAGGCAACAAAGTCAATGTCATTTGACTGTCAATATTCCGGAGTCACGCAAAATGATCGTTATGCCTCTATTAATATAGTTTACTCTTCGAATCTCATTTTCATACGGAAATAAATTGTGATTACATGAAAAATATAATTCAACAATCTATTCGCTACATTACTCGAGCTCAATTTTGATTTCTACTTGTAAAGCACTCAAAGAGATGGTTGTCTCATAATGTGATTAATTGATTCTGTCTTGAAAATATATGTTCCTTAACTATTTCGTCCCAAATCACCAAGCATTGATCATCCGATTAGATTTGACTTAGTACATCAAAGAATTTGAACTAATAATCAAAGTTCATTACATGTTCAAGATTAAGGTAACTCGTTTGATCATCAAGTAAAATTGTTCGTGCGAAACCTGTAAGCGTATGAGATCGTTGACAAGCAATGTTACGATGAGATTAGAGTATCGTCTCACGAGGAATAAGTCTTAAAAACAAATTATATTAGTTTGAAATCAGATTCGAATTATGTATCACAAAAGAGATTATTTGTTATTATTCTAACTTATTCTATAGATTATCTAATTGTGTTGTTTTATATGAATGAATGAATGCATGTATTGGACTTATGATCTACCTATTGTTGTTCTTATTTTGATTCTCAACATATTTAATTAGTGATGTTTATGTGTTCTTGACGATAATCCAATTATATCTATCTATCTATCTCTAGGTTAGATAAACCTATTCAAAGCACGATACGATCATATCCCTATTTCAAATTCATATGTAAAGTATTGCATTTATGCATACGATTATCAATAAGATTGCACACTTCAACATCTTGTTCCTAACATCTATTGTCCGCATGTTAATATTACAAAGTTCTAACTTATTATGGACTTTTCAGCACTACAATAAGTAACTAATTACTTAATTGGCGACTCCCTTCTTGACTAGACGAAGGATATACGAATTCGATTCCTTGTCATTTTTCTTTTAATTTCATAGAAATTATGCTAGGCTAAAAATTTTATTGTATTGAATGAAACCTATATTTTCTTATTTTTAATTCGAAGATTAGTAATTTAGTATATTTGTGAGCTTTTTGATTAATCTTGCATGCTTTGTTACCTTACTTGATTGATTGGAACGCAAGGTCAAGCCAAGACCTTACCCGCCTGAGTCGAATTCATAACAAGGAATTGAAGGCTAAACATTTTGTTAATTTTCAAGATCTTGATGTAATTAGCCTTTAATTCCTTGCTAGGTTTGATCTTTTCTCCTAAAATATGTAAATTTCAAGATCAAACCTAGCAAAGAATTGAAGGCTAAACATTTTGTTAATTTTCAAGATCTTGACGTAATTAGCCTTCAATTCCTTGCCAGGTTTTATCATTTCTCCTAAAAGATGTAAATTTTCCTCTTCTTCTGGATGAATTTTATGATATGATGTGATATGAGAGGCTAGAGATAGATGAATTAATGTTTAGTCATTGTCTTGTACTTATAGATGGTGAAATTAGGTCAAGAAACAAGTTTAATTTGGGTTCCAAAAAAGTTTGTAACAAAAGGAAAATTCCCTTCGTCTAACAGAAATACTACCATGTGTGCGCAGCAGCGCATGGTATGATACTTTGCCCACGCATGGAAGAGCAATTTAGAATGCTGCATATGAAATTTAACACCATGCGCGTGCATGGTAAAATGCAGTTTGGGACCAATTGCAAGTTGGTCCCTAAACTTTCTCCAGTATCTGATTTGGTCCTTTTTCGTGCAATTTCACTCCTTTACCTTTTAGAAGAGGTAGCTATGGATTGAATGGAATAGTAAAACAAAAAAAAGAATTCATAAAATTTATCCCAACAATATTGTGAATGAGGCTTAATATTGTTCTATAGAGTACAGAAGGCATATCTAATTTATTATCCATGGTTTTCATGCTTATTAAATTGGTGGCCATGCAGGGACAAATAAGATTCATTTGTAAAGTTGTTTGTCAGAACTCTGAACTCTCTGTCTATTGTAACTTAATGTTAAACGCCTTGTCCCATAAACTGTTCACCTTGGATGTCTTTTGTTGTTATTATTCTAGATATCTTGTGTTAACTTCCCTGAAATGAGGAAGGAGATGGTTTAAGTTGTTCACTTATTTATTCTTATGGATATTGATGATTATTTAAGATAGGAATAGTAGTTATATAAATATGGCCTTCTGTGTCAATTCTTTAATGTACCGCTTATTTATTTACTTGTTTTCATTTATTTGTATTCATTTGCTGTGAAGGCAGCTTATTATATGTTTTGTTGCAAGTAGGGCGAAAAACTTAATATGTACAGGTTATATAGGTGATTTTCCCATCTTAAATGTCTTGAAATATTGGGCCATCAAAGTGTTCGTGCATTAGGTAACATTATGACCTGAGTAGTTAGTGCCTTAGTGGTAATATGCTGATTGAAAATGTAGAGATTTGGTTATTAGTGCATAAAAAATGCTGTATCGAGAATATGCCACTGTCACCGGAATTTTGGTGTCCAACACGTATTGGATACAGATCAGATGGTCACACTAAGTTGTGCTCTTCGTTGACACTGCTTACAATAGTTGTAACCAAAAAAGAAGAATCTCAATGACAACTCAATTCACAAATCAAACTGAATGAAGAAAGAAAGCTCTCTTACAATCTAACAGAGAGGAAAGGAGGGAAGAATATTTGGAGAAGGGGTGAAAGGGTAAACATGTGGAGAAGGGGAAAAGACAGTAGGCATCTTTGAAGAAGAAAATTGGTTATTGGAGGGAAAAATGATGATAGCCTTTTGGAGAAAAAAATAGATCATGACGAAAATGAATCTGGACATACTGGGGTGGGTTGTTTGTCAGGTAAATAAATGCAATTTTTACTCTGCTGGACCAAACGATAAACAAAAATGCTACTTGTACATCACAAATTGTACATAAGGGACTACAACCCTCTCACATAGGGTGTGGGACCCATTGCATAAATTATTTTTTAATCTAAGCGGATCCCACCCTCATGTGAGGGGGGTGTACACCCCGATGTACAATGTGATGTACAAGTCGCAAGACCGAAAAATCTAATCCCTCACAACCCGCCTAGAAAAAGAAGTGTAAAGCGCATAAAAGATTTCAAAATTCCAATGTAAATTGTGATGTACAAATAGCAAGACCGAACAATAAAAACCCATTCCTGCACAATTGAAAATAAGAAAGTCAACACATTAGAAAGCCTGAAGTGTCCCTTTCAGCACCCTTGGAGCAGATTTTCGTACTTTCTTCAGCGGCAATTTTATTACTATTGAAGAACAAAACATTATTTTTTCAATGTGTCAGTATTCTTTTTTTTTTNTGCCTTTTGTTTTTCATTTGTATAGTCAGAGAGGCAAAATCTGATTCCTCACGAGGAGGCCGTGGAGGCGGGCATGGGTATGGACGTAGTCGTAGTGGCAGAGATTCAACCAATTATGACAATTCATACAGAAATAGGGAAATTTCTGGTGGTGAAGGTCTAACTGAAGAGACTGATACTAGAAAACCTTCTGAGAGGTATGATGGCTATGGTGGACCTCGTGTGCCTTTCCGAGGCAGTCGCCGAGGCGGTTTTAGCAATCGTGAAGTTGGTGAAGGGGAAAATGGAAGGCCTCGAAGGGCGTTTGAGCGCCATAGTGGAACTGAGCAAGGGTAAGTATCTTCCTTTGCCAATTTTATCTTCTTGTTATGCTGCAAAGTGGTTCTTTAAAACAGTTTTGATAAAGTAATATTTTTATGTAAGAGGTTTTTGAACATTTATTCTAAAACGTAAACTCATTTTATGTGTAGAAACGAAATGAAACGTGAAGGAGCTGGCCGAGGGTTGACCCCTTGAGTCTGACTACTTGTCACCCTGTGAGTAATTGCATGTTGCCTGTGGCCATTAAACTTCATCAACATTATGAGATACTCTGTATCTCATATAATTTCTCCTTGCATAGTTCTGTGTCTGCTAACCCAGTGTTTCCTCTACTGCATTTTATTTTCTAGAGAGGCCGGAGAAGTTGATGAAGGTGATAAAAATGTGAATGCTGAGAAGCCCACAGGTGAGGAGAATGCAGCAGAAGGGTACAAGGGAACTCCTGTGGATGAAGTTGAAGAGAAGGAACCTGAGCATAAGGTAGAGCCAGAGGACTTAATATAATTCAATTCTTAACTCCAATTGTTTCTGCAGCAGTTATTGCTACCTTTGATGTTTCTGTTCCTTAAATCTGCAGGAGATGACACTTGAAGAGTATGAAAAGGTCCTGGAGGAGAGAAGGCAGGCCCTGCAGGCTCTTAAAACTGAGGAAAGGAAGGTTGATGTAAAAGAGTTTGAATCCATGCAACAGCTCACGAACAAGAAAAACAACGATGATGTATTTGTCAAATTGGTGAATCCATTAACACTCCCTACCGAATTTTTCATTCCTGTCAATATTTAATTATTTTTGACATGTTTGTTTTATCTGTCTACTCTCAATTTGATTCTGCACTTTAGGGATCTGAAAAGGATAAGAGGAAAGAGTTAACCGAGAAAGAAGAGAGAGCTAAGAAGGTAATTGTTTATTATCTATACTCCCTAGTATATTACATATTTGTTATGAGTCCATTGGTGGTGCAAGATCTGTTTCTGGTCTTTATCGTGGTGTTCCAGTTTTTTCCATCAGTGCTTTTTCATGTTTTTGCCGTTTCTTTCCCCCTCCCAATACTTCCAGTTCCAGTGTGGGCGAGTGGCAGCTGTCGATGCTAAAACTTGATAAATATTGCCTACAAATATACTAATTGACAATTCTGACGTTTCATGTAATTTTCTGTTGGAGACTACTACAAGGTGATCTTTTTCTTTTTGAATGGTTTAGTCTGTCAGCATCAATGAGTTCTTGAAGCCCACCAAGGGAGAGAGGTACTACAGTACTAGTGATCACGGGAGGGACCGAGGACGTGGCTCCAGAGGAGGATATAGTGGTGGTGGAGAAAATAAAGCTCCTTTCATCGAAGATCCAGGCCAGTTCCCTACCTTGGGTAGCAAATGAAACGTCCTCCTGCCATCATCTCGAATTATCTCGTGTTGGGCATGGAAGTTGACTGAATAAATGAGCTCTGTATCATAAATGTACATAGCGTGATGCTATGTTTTCATGTGTACCACTGAAGCTTTTTCCATAATGTGATGCTATGTTTGATACGAACGATTAATTTATGAATCAAGATAATTGGTAACAGCTTGGTATACAAATTCAGTTCATTATATACACGTAGCATGCTGGTTGTAAAGGCTACAATTATGTTCGCGTCTCTTCGTTTAAATTGAGCTTTCCGTTAACTGGTGATAAGAAAAGTTGATTTAATTGTTAGTTCTTGGGTGATTAAGCTTCTGTTTGAGTTTCATTCTCTGAAAAATCATTTGTTTACGTTCTTTCATAAAATAGTTTTACATGTAAATTCAAAATTGCAAAAAATCACTGTTAGAAAATTCAATTTGGGGAAATTTAAGAAACAAGAGCACAGGTATCACCTATTTCAAAACTAAGAAACTAAGTTTCAAATTTTAAAAATCAGATTTTTTTAAATTTCATTTATAAATTAATTTATTAAATATATATTTTACTGATTAGATATATTAAGGTAACAATTATATATGCAATTTGGTCACAATTCTATAATTAATTAGTCACAAATTAATTTTCGGCATAATTTATCAAAATTATTGATCACAACTTACTCCTCGGTCACGAATCAAAATTTTATAGGTCACAAATTATTTATCGATCCCGAATAAAAATTTTATGTCACAATTTGTTCATTGGTCACAAATAAAAAATCTATACGTCACAATTTTTTTATCGGTCACAAATCACAAACATTACAAATCACAACTTATTAGACAGTCAAAAATTAACAATTTTTTACATCACACATTATTTTTTGGTTACAATTTATCTTTTTATTGGTCACAACTTATTTCCTAATCACAAATTAAGAATTTTATAGGCCACAGTTATTTCTCGATCACGAATCAAAAATTTTATCTGTCACAGATTATTTATCGATTACAAAATTAAAACTTTTATTGGTCACAACTCGATTACAACTTAATAAATTGTGAGTCACAGTCACAATTTTTAGGTCACATATTTTTTTTTTGACAAAAAATAACCAATTATTGGTCACAAACACCACCACACCCCCCTGCCACTTGCACACCCTCATCCCACCACCCCACCACAACCACAACACCACGGAAAACCATCACCTCCACCACCAACAGAAAAGCACCACTGTGACCGCCACCACCAACAAAAACGAACGACCACCGCCTAGCCATCGTCACTGTCCATCGCCACCAACAACAAAAACGCACCACCACCGTCATTGCCCATCGCCACCAAAAACAACCTATCATTGCACCACCACCATTAAACAATCACCACAACAAGCACCACTAAAGCACATACCACACCACCCATCTCACATCATCGAATTTTAAAGTCACAATTAATCCATTATGCAATTTTTTTTTTTATGACCACCACTTCACGGTTGCCTCCAATAGCACCACCACCACCATCACTGCCACATTGGTCACAAATTTCAATCAACTAATAATATCGTCACAAACACCCACACCACATTCCACCACTCTAAAAGCACCGCACCACCGTCAATGATGCCGCCCACGGCCACAGCCGCCGTCCACATCACTCTAAAAGTATACAATAAACTGGCAGACGGTCAATTTATCATAACCAAGTCGATACCGAGTCGGCTTCGGGGGAGATTCAGGCAAGGCTTTCGGTGAAGATAAGAAAGTCGGCAAGTGTGAAATCGGCATTTGGGCACTTTGATGAGGAGATTGTGGAGGCAAATTGGCCTGCCACTGTGAGGGAAATGGGAAGTACTAAACTCACCAAAGTGGACGAACAAGTAGATGCGGCGACGGTAGTGTTCTTCATAGCAGTGACGACAGTGTTCTTCGTGAGGGAGATGAGTTAGGGCGGCCGTTGATAAGTGTGGATTTTTGCACTTATTCGTACTATTAATTTAGATATTTGTGAGTTTCATTATCGATTTATTACTTAATTTAGTTATTTTTATTATGTAGGTGAAAACCTGAGTTTGAATGATGATTAGAAGGAATTTACGCAAGAATTGAGCAAAAGGAACCAAAGATGCAAGAATTCCAAAGTTTGGGAACCAAAATTATCACATTTTCGTAGTTGGAGGACCTAACGTGCAATTTCTGGAAAATCTGCTACAGAATTTACACGGAGTCCAACTTTTTTTTTTACAGCAAGTTGGCGGCTAGGCTCCACTGTAGCAGCGCCTAGGCGCCACTTTAAAAGTTTTAGGACCGTTGTTTTTATCTTTCCAAAGTTAGGGGGCTTGGGTTGCAATTAATCATTAGGTTTTGAATTATAAAACACTCCAGCAGCCCCTGTTTTAAAAGAGAAAACGTCCAGCAGCTGCACTTCTGGAATTTCTCCTCTTTCAATTCCTTTTCTTTCTTTCTTTCTCTTTATTTATTTTTCTTTGAATTTCCTTGGTAATTTTTGGACAAAGTTTGGAACTTGGCAATGGTAAAATAGTTTGGAGAAGAAGACCAATTGATATTTTTTTTATCAATAAGTTTTTATTTTCCCTAATTTATTTTCCAGTAATGGGTTGTAAGAATTTGTTTGCTATTTTTAAGTATTTAATGAATAACTAAATATATTTGTGATTGGAGGGTGATTTCAAACCCAAGTTATGATTTTTCATTAATTTTTGCTTTATAGTTCTCTTGATTGATGTGTTTAATCCATTGATTTAAATGTTTATTTTGTTCTTCTTGATTGTTTGGGTGTATAACTAAACAATTGAGTTGTTTCAATGAATGTTATTTTGGGATTTATAGTACGTAATCGCTATTTATTCTAAAACCTTATGACAATTACATTTCAATGGATTATGATGAAAAATTGATTATATGTGGTTTAACACTTAAGTAAGTAAACCGAGCTTGTGAGTTTGCCCTTAATTCAATTCATCTCTTTTGTCGTAATGCTTTTGTTAAATTAAATTTAGAGAGTTTGTTCTAGATTGTTTAATGAATAGGGTTGAGCAAAGAGTTTATTTTATTTAACTAATATGTAAGAAGAGATTGAGATAATTGAGCTTGTAATTATTCTCGAATTGTTGTTAATATAGAGAACAAAAATCTATTGTGTAATTGATATGAAAATCATTCTCGTGGTAACGAGATATCCCCCCAATCACATCTTCACATCTTTGATTTAAAAACTACTTTGTTTATTTCCAAATTCAAGTCTTTTCTATTTTAAATTTATTGCTTTCTTTAATTCAACGAACCAAATCCCTCCCATTTAATTACTTTAGTATAAAACTGTTAATTTTACTTTCTAGTGTGCAATTGATTAAATTGAAACAATCATCTGCGAAAAATGACCCTTACTTGCCATATTACTATTTAAGACGACACGTTTAAAGTTAAGTAATGAAATTAGTTGGTACATCATTTCGACGTTATCAGTCGTGTTCTTCATGAAGGAGATGAGTGAGGGCGGGATGTGGTGGCGTCTTGTCGACAGTGGTGACGGCTCTTCATAGAGGCGGTGGCAGTGTTCGTGAGAGAGATGAGTGACGTCGACAATGTTGAGAGATGAGTGATGGATGGAGAGAGAAAATAATATCAAAAGTGATTAGGGTTAGGTATAATTATATTTAGTAAAAACATTTCTTTTATAAAATTATTAATTAAAATAAAATATCTGATTTTGAAAGATTAAACTTTGTACCTGATTTTAAAATGTTGAATAATTAAAGTATGGATTGGTGTAATTTCCACATTCAATTTTCCCAGAAATGGGCTCGAACAAAGCCTAAGTGTCGCTATTCGTGCAAAATGAAAATATGATATGTCTAATATATTTTATCCAACCTATGTAAATAAAAATTAAATCAATGTATGTTTGGCATAACTTTGCCAGAATTCAGGGGTGGGCTAATTTTGGGTCCATTAATTGAAGCCATAATTGAAGTCCAATGCTCCGCGTTGTTTACCTGTTCTTGTTACAAGACACACCAATTTCTACAACTAACTACGGATGCAAGGATGATGGAGGGGTGTCAACGAGTGTGATGTATCCCACAGAGAGTCACAATTTGTTACTTTGAGGATTAACATCTTCCATAGACGGATCAAGTACTATAGAGGAAGCCCTTGCAAGGAAGAGTTCTTCTCTTAAAAGGAGGTAAAATAACCTCATCAATGACAAATGTGATGCATCCCACAGAAAGCCACAACTTGTCGCATTAGAGGATTAACCTCTTCTGTGGATGAATCAAACACCATTGAGGAAGCCTTGTAAGGTACAGTTAATTCCTTGCAAGGAGGTAAAATAGTCTTATTAAGGACAAATGTGATGCATCTCACACAGAGCCACGACTTGTTCTTTAGAGAATTAACCCCTTTCTATGGATAGATCAAACATCATGAAGGAAGCCCTTGCAAGGAAGAGCTATCCTCTTACAAAGAGGTAAAATAGCATCATCTAGGAAAAGTGTGATACATCTCACAGAAAGCTACAACTTGTTGCCTTAGAGAATTAACCCCTTCCATGGATGAATCAAATATCTCAGAGGAAGTCCTTGCAAGGAAGAGCTATCTCCTTGCAATGAGGTAAAATAGCATCATTAAGGACAAGTGTAATGCATCCCTCAGAGAGCCACAATGTGTTGCCTTAGATGATTAATCCCTTCTGTTGATAAATCAAACACTGTGGATGATGCCCCTGTAAGGAAAAGCTATCCCCTTGCAAGGAGTTAAAATAGTTTCATCAAGAACAAGTGTGATGCATCCCACAGAGAGTCATAACTTGTTGCCTAAGAGTATTAACCCCCGTCCGTGGATGGATCAAACACCATGGAGGAAGCTCTTGCACGGAAGAGCTACCCCTTTGCAAAGGGCCTTGGCCAACTTCAATTTATCTTATCAACGACTGCCTCTTCCCGAAGGGGCTCTCCCTTAAGCAAA